GAAGGTCCTCTTTCAAAGGCAGAACTGTTGGCGATCTGTTTGCAAAGAATAAAACAATGTAAATCTTTGTAAAGGTAGAAGTTACATGCTCTAATCTGGTTAATCCCTCAGGATATGGAGAACAGCTTCTTTATGAACGTGAACGATCAGGTGAGAGAGGTGTGCAGCCAACTCGCAAAGGACCCTCACCTGAAAGGAGGCTACAACGCCATGGGCTTCTCCCAGGGAGGCCAGTTCCTGTAAGTTTATATTTCTGTTCCGCTTCCCGTGGTTTCTGTTGGGTTTTAGGTTCTGATTAAAAAGTCTTTTGAAGTACTAAGCAGGTGTAAACTGGCAAACTCCTGCATAAAGGTAGGAGTGCTCCAAAGGAGGTAAGAATGTGTTTGCCTGGAGCCCTCCTCTGCCAGAAAGGGTTAATTCTGTTTGCAAAATTTACTCTAGTGCCCCAGCCCGCTCAGTGGCAAGCGAGAGCTGCCTGTGAAGCAGCACTGGTGGCCAGGGCATGCTGAGCAGGAGCTCAGCTCCTTCTTCTTTCTCCACAGGAGGGCGGTGGCCCAGCGGTGTCCTTCTCCTCCCATGCTCAATTTGATCTCCGTCGGGGGGCAGCACCAAGGTAGTGTCCTCTTAGGTTCTCACACCTCCTCACCACCTTGGAGGGTGGGGGGCTCTTGTTGGCAGGAGGGGTGATTTTTTTGGCCTCTTCCTAAAAACTGACCATTTTCTTATGAATTAAACCGTCCCCTTGTTCTCGCCTGAATCTGGTGGTCTGCTTTGACCAAGTTGTTAGATGAGCAGCTTATCTGGTGTCTGGGTCTTGATCAGCTGGCAACGAGGAGGGACCTTTGCAAGTAGATGACGTATCTTCTGGGTAGAATTCTTACGTGCTTTGGGAGCACTTGGGGTTAGTTGTTCTGGGAGAATAAATTTCTAACTGCAGAGCAAAGCCTTGGTGAAACCACACCTTCTGAGTCCCAAGAATATTTTACAGTTGGCATCTGGAAGGCTAAAGCCCCCAGGGAGGTGCTTTTTGCACAGATTAAAGGGCAGTATGAAATGGGATTTAAGAGGTGTCTAGTTAAGAGCAGCTGGCACTGAATTTCAAAAACTCTCCCCTGAGACGTTCTATGGCTTGAGTCTATTTCTTTGTAGTGTAGTGGGAAGACTTGTAGGGAACCATTTCGAGACCTCCTGGGAACACACCAGACGAGCTGGACAGTATTCTGCTTGTCTACATGCCTCCGTTCTCCAGAGCAATACCTTCAGCTCAAGAACATCACCCATTATCTTTGTGTGTAGTGGTGCCCAGGAGCAGGAGAGCTGCCTAAGGAGATTGCAAGATTAAAGGCCACCTGATTCCCTGGCTAATCTCGCCACTGCTCTGTGAGAGGGTGGTTCTTCACCAGCTGGAGGGATTAAAAGATTTGAGCTTGGCTCACTGAGTTGTTACATGTGTCTCCATACCCCAGGTGTGTACGGCTTTCCACGCTGTCCCGGTGAGAGCTCCCATATCTGTGACTGGATCCGCAAGACGCTGGATCTGGGCGCCTACACACAAGCTGTTCAGGAGCAGTGAGTGTATTCATCGGGCGACGGTGGCTGGGCCCCCCCAGCAGCTCTGGGTTTCTGGTCTGATCTTTTGTTTCTCTCTTCTCCAGCTTGGTACAAGCAGAGTATTGGCACGACCCTCTGAAGGAGGAGGACTACAGGAAAAATAGCATCTTTTTGGCTGACATAAATCAGGAGAGGGTAAGGATCTGGCTGATGATTAAATGCTAGCAGGAGAGCAGAAACCTTAGCAGTGAGTTCCTTCATGTTAAGTCTCCCTGTCAGTGGTTTTGCTGGAGTTTGAAAGGGAGCATTTTTTTTTCGCTCTGCATCCCAGGAGCATACAAAGTGGTTTTGCTGGTAGATGTATGAATGAGACTTGTCTGTGGCAGAGCAGTTCCTGTGTCACTGCACTCTTTCGGAGCGGTCTGTGTAGGTATGCCACGTGCTCAGCCCACCCATCACCTTTCCAGGGGGCAAATCCTCTCCCTCCCCTGGGAAGGCAGGGGAGGCCCATTCTCTCTTTACAACCTGGAGATGAGGCTGAATGCCATGAGCACAGCCAAGGGAGGCTGGTGACAGAAATGCACGTTTCCGCCTTCTAGGCTGGTGCAGTCCAGGGTTTCCTTTGCAAGTGCAGGGCAAGTTGGAGCAGGCGGTTTCCCTGACTTGTCCCAGTGGGCTTTCCAGTGACTTGGATCTGTTCTCTGTTGCTTTCATCCAGGGCATCAATGAGACATACAAGAAAAACCTGATGGCTCTGAAGAAGTTTGTGATGGTGAAATTTCTCAATGATACCATGGTCGACCCTCCGATCTCTGAGGTGAGGCGGGCATGGTGGGTGCTGGTTTTGAGTGGTGGTTTGGTTCTTGCTTGTTCCTTGTTTGTCCTTTGCTGGTGAGGAGCAGGCTGAGCACAGAGGCCTGATACTGCACTGTCTGCAGCAGCATGTCTCCAGCAGAAGCTGGTGAAAGCCTGCTTATTTCCTGGGAGCCCTTCAGCAACTGTTTCTTTGTTTTTATTCTGATAGTGGTTTGGGTTTTACAAAAGCGGCCAAGCCAAGGAGACCATCCCGCTGAAGGAGACCTCACTGTACACAGAGGTATGTTCTGCTGGGGGCTGAGGGGTTTCTGCTATTCCCACTCTAAAGAATGTAGTGTCCCTGTGGCCTTGAGGAGCTCTAAACCCCACAGCTCTGCCTTACTCACCATCTCTGCCGTTCCTGGGTCATTGCCTCCTCTTGCCAGTAGCTGTTTGGGAAGGCATTTCCCTTCGAGCCAGTTCTAGCAGTGGGAATCATGGTGGTCTCACACCTGGGCTCAAGGTCTCCTTCATGTGTTTTATGAACTCTCCTCCTTTTTAAAGCCTTGTTGTGAGTCATCCAAAATGCCTTTTCCCCTCTATGAGGAGAAGCTTTGAAGAGCAGAGGTGGAACTCACTCTAGCCTGCTCGCCACTTCTGCTGCAACCACCATCTCTGACCATCAGCGCGTTTCTCTGTGCCGAGTTCCCCAGCCAGTGCCAGCGTTTGGCGTGGCAGGGCCCCAGGAAGCTATGGTCATGCCTCTCTCTCTGCAGGATCGCCTGGGGCTGCAGGAGATGGACAAAGCAGGAAAACTGGTGTTCCTGGGGGTGAAAGGGGATCACCTGCACTTCTCAGAAGAGTGGTTTTACACCACTATCCTCCCCTTCCTCCAGTGAAGCTAAGGGGATGGTCTGCCACTGTAGCTAATGGAGCTGCTACTGTGCAACAGCACTTTCTGCATACAGGCCTGCGGGGATCTGGGGAAGGGGGAAGAGAAGGGGGTTTAGCTCAGCAGTCCCACAGCGTGCAGAGGTGGCACCTGTTACACTGGGGGGAGACTGGGAATTATCTGGCTGTAATTACGCTCCAGTATGGGTGGGCTGAGCCTTGCACTAACTCTGAAGCACTGCGTCCTGCACGGGTCCCCTAAGTCTGCTTCGGTTCTCAGAGCTGGGGCAGCACCAGTCACTGGGTGATGGCAAAATAATTAGCTGTGAGAGGTTTGTCTTCCCTGTCGCCTGCTCCTGGCAGGACACAGCGGCAGTATGAGCCAAGATCACCAGTGCAAGAACACTGCATCTTTGGAGGGGCTCAGCAAGTAGACTTACGTGGCTGTTTGCAGGGGAAAGAGATGACAGCCTCTCTTCAAGATCGGGAAAACGGCCAAATTTAGGGGTTTCTGGGGAAAAAGGAGGGGTTTAAATTAAGTAGGTATTAACTGCTTGAACAGTTTTCAACTAATAGCTTGTTTTATGCACTTTTGTACAGTAATGAAATCAATAAAGAATTTTAAATCTAACCAACTGACAAAAAAGGTGAGATTTGACAATTACTGATGAGGGGAGTTGAGGAAAGTCTGTACTTTCCCCTGGGAATGCCAGCAGTTGGGCAGCCTGAGGTGCTGTGAGCTTCCAAAGAGTAAACGAGCCATTGTAATGAGCAAGTTGGCATTAACTTTATTCTATCTTCTGTATAATCTTAAGTACATAAGAAAGGTTTTTTTCACAAGCCTCAGGAGAAGACGAGTACAAGTCACAGGACAGTCTCAAAATAAAAAAAAAAATTGCATATTTTTTTGTAAGTTTTGTCCTAGAGAAAAAGAACATTGACACTTTACAGAGGAAATGCATTTAAGATATGCTTATGCCACCCGAGGCATTGGAAAAATGAAGGTCAAAGCACGTGCAGCTCCCTTTTATGGGTCAGTACAGTACTGTGTCTTGGATCCACCGCTCTGCTCCAGGGCCCTGGAACAGAGGCTACAAGCTTCCACCAAAGAAAAGAGCCAAGCAACAGGGGGAAGAGGAGGCTGAGAGGATTCACTTTATGGGGACTGATTGCAGATGAGGAAGAGAGTGATGAACCGACTTAATCCAACTCTGGTATTTACACTACTGCACTACTGACCCTGGAATGAAGGAGACCCTTCCTCTGCAGAAGGGGACAGGTTCAGAAGAACTGTCCTGGAAGACTGAACCTGAGTTCAGCTGCTCCGAGAAGGAAGCCCTGGGGCAAAGATTCCCTTGCGAGGGTGGAGGGCTGATGGAATAAGAGGTGCTCAGCTCGAAGCTACCAGCCAGACTGCCGAGGCAGAGGTGACCGCAGTTACTCCACTGCAGCCTTCCTGTGGCACTGGTTAATATTAAGCCTCCTGTCATGGCACAATCAGAAATACACTGAGCTAGTGGGAATGACGAAAGAGAAATCAAGGTGGAATGCTACAGCCCAGGTCCTCAGCCTTTGGTCCGACAAAGACATTCCCATGTCCTGTAATGCCACCAACTAATAACACAGAGCTGGAATTAGCAGTTCCCAGGACCTTCTTGAGACATCTGCCATAGCAACTGAGCACTCTGGATGCCAACATAAACCGTTATTTGTTAAAAGGGGACAACATTCCTCTCTCACATGAACAGTTTGCTTAAAGGCAATACAAAAAAACCTGAACAACACTCTGAAAGCCAACTGCCAGTACTGGCTGTGAAGTTCACCGAAAATCTGACTTGACCAATTGGTGCAGTTAGATCAAACAAGGGGAGGGGGGACAAAAAAAGTACACCTTCCTGCTAATAGATGTGGACAATAACTGAGCCGCCACCTACACCAAACCCCAGCCAGAGGTATTTCAGTGACGGCAGGTAGCTGTGTCTCTCGGGTAGAAGAGAAGCAGTTTGAGAGCAGAAAGGTACAAGAAATCTAAGAGAATCATCTGAAAGCAGATTTGTCCCACAGCAGGGCCAGGGGAGGACATGAGCCTTGGAGCTTTTCTGCTTAGCCAGCAATTTCCGTCACAGTGGTAACCAACTTCTGACCGTTCCACACTGTCTTGAACTGTTCTGGGACAGGGAATTCAGTCTGGAGGGTAAAAATAGAAACCTGTTGTCAAAAAACACTTTATGACTGAGACTAGCAACTACTCTTCCCGCTTTAGGCACCTCTTTTCTTAGACATATGCTGTGTCACTTCCTGCACCACAAACTGCCTGTTCTGCTCCCCAGAGATGCTGAGGAAGAAGAAACTTTTACAAAACAGCAAGTGTCTCACTGTGAAGATAAACAACTTGATTTGCTGGTTTTACCGTCTGATCATCATTCACACCCTCCAAGTCTAGAATTGTCCCCTCACTGTAACATTCCTACGAATCCTACCCTGCGTTACCCCAACCCCAAACAGACCACAATGGTTTCAAAACTGAACACTTACAAAGTCACCACCCTCTGTGGGAATAAGGACATTCATCTCTGATGACTTGGCACTGACGATTTCGCAGTCTAAGGAGTTCTTGCTCAGATACACGTGGCAACCGTCTGTCTTGTTGATGGAAATTGTTGGCACTTTACCCATTACCTAGCAGGGTGGTCAAAGCAGCAGTTAGAGGAGCGTTCGCTTGAAGTGGGAAACCACGACGTTTTTGTTTCGCTCCCACCTGCGAGGCAAGAGCTTTGACTCCAGACCCCCTGCTACAGACACGCTGGATTCAAGTACTCCCACCTTTGGCAAAAATCCAAAGTTACTTCTCATTTCGATCTCTTTAGAACAAAACTACAGTGAAGGTTGGGCAAATTGACCATCCCAAACCAGACACTAAAACTGGAATCAAGAGTAGATCCTACTGCTGGCCTCCTACTCGGCCAGTCACATTGCGCTGCCCACCTCACAGAGGCTAATCTTTTATCTACAGCCCTGAAGCAGCTCAGTGAGGCAAATTTCTGCCCTTCTCTAAGGGCTGGGCAGGGTGAGCTGCAGGGCAGCAGGACAGGTGGTGTTTCATCAATGTTCTCTACAGATGCACATTCCTGTTCTGGAAATACAGAACTCAAAGCAGCAAATGTTACAGACACCCTGTTGTGCAGTGCAGCAGCCACACTCCAGGCAGAGAACAGGTCACAGACGCTCACCTGAACTTTAACGTCCCTGCTGTTTATGATCTCTACGATGCCCACCACGTCATCGAACACCAGCCCTAGCTTCTTACAGTTATCTGCAAAGAAAAGACAGAGTAGCCCACAGAAAGGTTTTGGAGATTCAGCCTTCTGCAAACAGCCCTGCATGCAGAAGCGGTTTTCGGGGTTTCTCCACTTACCGAGGGTGATGGAGTTGATCTTGCCTTTGATTTGAAGCGTGCTATTTGTGCACTTGAAAACGTATGCTACCTGCTTCAGCTCCGTGTCGCTGATTACCAGGTTAGTGGCATTCTCCTGGTTTTCCTGAAAAGGCAGGGAAAAGGCACTTTATTTTCTGAATGCAGGCCAATTAATCCGTGTGAACAGCAGGGCAGCGCAGCCTCTTTGAAAGCAAACTGCATGCACCTTCGGGCTGGTGCCTCTTACAAGAAAGGTCTTCAGGAGACCCACCTTCCCTGCTGCAACGCTCCCATCCCTCCAACCCGCTCATGCCGCTGCCAGGCACTCACCACTCTCCACTTTTTGCCCTCTAATTCTAGTAACGCAGGTGCCTTTGGAGAGGTTTTTTGGGAGGGATTAGCGTTACAGGCTGGTTTGGGAGCAGTGAAAGGTTTGGGTCCACTTCTCACAGGACCCCCTTGGTTCTTCAGTGCCGGATTCTTGTGGGTCTTCATGTCATCTGAAACATGTCTTAAGCCTGCAAGATAAATCAAACCCGAGATCCAGCTCTCCTCCAAGAACCCAGTTTCATAAACACCCAACATCAGTGATTACAACAATTATCACAGTAATGTTTTTAAAAATGCAAATAAATTATTGACACTGGGCCTAAGTTGAGCCCAAGCATGAGTGACAGCAAGTGAGAGGGAGCAAAAACCACTGGTGCAATATCGACGAGAACACAAGATGTACTGTAGAATCAGAAGGCATCAGCTCTTCTACTCTGCAGCTGGAAAAAGCCCTGAGCCAAGCATCTCACCTTTGTTTCACGTCTGCCCTGATCTGCTAACCAGGTAACACACAAAAGGGGTGAGTTTTGGGCAAACAGATAGGTGCAAAATTGCACCTTTTGTACTTGAGACGTGCAGGCAACCAAAGGGCTCCTTCTCTCTGTCCTAGCTAGAGATTAATGTCTTGCTACACCTGACAGATGAGGCTGACAATGCTCCCTCAGATGTGCTGCCTTTGTCCCTGTGTGCTGCCTCAGGGCTGCTTCTGGCTCCCAGCCTCATGCTCAGACCAGCTGGTCTTTTGTTTCGCAAGCTGCTTTCTAAGCAGGTGCACTGGAGGAGCAGCAAAACAAGGATTCACAGCACAACAGCACCCTCGCTCACAGCTTCCCTCCCTCCAGTAGCTGCTTCCACCTACCAGAGGTGATGCCCTCTCCTCGATTGATCTGGGCGAAGAGTGCGGAGCGGGAGGCAGAGTCATCTGTGCTGGAGCTCGCGGGGGCAGGAGCAGGTGGGGGAGGAGGGCCTGGGGGGGGAGGCGCAGCCCCGGCTGGGGGAACGGGTGGCGATTTGGCCCCTTCTGTTGCTACAGGACCCTGTAAGAGGCCAGCAACAGGAAAGGCAGTTGCACGAGCTCCGTATCTGCTGCAATCCTCATGCAATACTCACCTAAGAAGCTGCTGCAGATGTAGCCAGCACTTACTGTTTTGCTCCAAGTCAGCCCTATGGTGTGATACTCTTTGATATAGGCCTGCAGCTCCGTCCAGATACTCAGATAAGCTTTCACCCAGTCCACTTGCTTTTTATCTCTGAGGACACAAGGAGATCATGAGGGGTGAGCAGCTGCATTTGCCATTAAAACTCAAGGACTATAAACACTTCTTGACATCTCTCCACCTCTCCGCCTGCAGGCACGACACGGCTGGACCAGCACAGCAGCCTCACACCTCCAGCACTGCGCCCCAGCTTCAGTATTAATCTCGCACCTGCAGGCAGAAGGGCACAGGCCTGCTCTGCACTGTAACCCATCTTAATTGAGGATTCCGGTACTTCCAACAAGACCCATTCCCAAGACACAACTTGCTGCCCTGGGAAACAGTTCAGCCACCAGATGATGCTGAGACAAGGGCAGTGGTACAATTACTACCAGAGATCGCAGCTGCAACATGAGTGGAAGGAATTTTGTCCTTTAGAAATATAACAGCCTTTAAAAGGAAGATTGAATGAAAGACCAAGGCGGCTGTGGTTAGATACTGGAGTAGCCCCTACACACCCAGTTAGATGTGTTCAAGAACATCTTTAAGAGAGAAGGGCAACTTACACATCCTTGTACTCCTTGAGGATCCGGTTGGTATAAAACATGGCAGCATCGGTCATTTCCTTCACGTAAGGACCAGGCTTTGGAGCCTAAAGAAGAAAGAACACACTGGCATGGAGCAGCTGACCAAGGAGCCAGACTCTTCCCACCAGCCCAAGGAAACCACTTCCCACTGGAGTTCTTACCATGGCCACCCAGCCCAGGGCTGGGATGCTCTCGCTGACTGCCGATAAGTGATTGAACAGTTTGCTACCACGGTTCTTCTCCCTGAAATTCTGCACCACCTGGATTTGCTCTGAAATCGGTTTCAGAAGCGATGAAAACGCATTCTGCAGGACAAAAGAGACAATAACATTTAAGAACATTAGTACTGCTCTGGAACGGCTGCACATCTTCATTGACAGCTCTCCCGAGATGATGGCCACTCGGAGGAAGGTTCCAACTGGCACAAGTTACTGCTACAGCTCCTGTCCAGGCTTGGCCCTCCCTGCGAGCTGAGCTCGGTCCCACAGCATAGCTCCTCCAGGGCTGAAGTCATAGCTCCCAGCCGGATTGGTACTATGGGAGTACGCCAAGAACTGTGACTCATGTTCAATCCAAGAGACACTGACAAAGCTTGTTAGTAACGAGGACAGAAATAGCATTTGCCTTTCCTGGATTCTTTTGTTCCAAGACAGTATGTCAAATTTTTGCTCTCCTTTACAAACCCTCAGAGGAAGGGGATGCTACGCAGGTTTCTGCGGTCTGGGAGCCACAGCCTGCATTACAAACGGAGTCGCAGCAAGTTCTCGACTCGCCCCATCAAGCTGGGCTTCAGGATTCACGTTACTTCTCAAGTCAATCCAAGCCTTTAGCATCTGGATGATAAAAACTGTTTCTGCGCGTTGTTCACTTGGAGTGCCGACTGAAAGTGCCAGAGCAGAGCAGCCAATTAAACAGGCCCAGAGGTGCCTCTTAGACAAGTTTTCTTTCCTCTAAAATCACAAAGTTTCCTCCTGGTGGCAGCAGTGAGGGACAAATCTGGGCAAAACTTGCTTTTCAAAGCTTTGGCTTTTCCATTTGCTGTCCCTTCCTCTCTGTTTAGATGAAAATAGAGAGGTTCTGAGCTCCACTGGCCTGGCTACACTTTCAGAAGCTCCAGCCGAGCACCACTGTGAACTAACAGGACAGGGAAATTCTTTGCCACAAGCAAGGAGAGTTCATACATTTTGCATTTTAAACTGGCTACTCCAGAACGAACTAGACTCCTGCAAGACAACCTGCACAAAGACCTACACTAGATTAAGGTGGTTGTTTTTTCATAAACCTTTATTTAAATAGTGTGTCGGTGGAATTTGTAAACAGATTCTCAGACTAGAGGCTACGGAGAGCAGCATCCCAGCAAGTCTGGTGAAAGATAAACCACCCTTCAATTCTGAGTCTGGGGAAAAAGATGCAGATATGTTTTGCAGTGAATAGGGAAGTAGCACAGAAACCCAGCTACCACAATGTAACAGCAGAAGCCATGACTAAGCCAGATAATAACTGCAAAGAACAGCAAGGTGGGATCCTGTTGCTTGGGAAAAACGGTTCTCAGCCGGGAAAAACCTATGCATTCAGGCTCAGATTCTCAGTCACACGTCCTGCTGAGAAGCAGCAGTCAAGGGTAAAGTGTTAAATTACTTGCTAAGGACAAATCAATCCTAAAAGCCTAGCTATTGTTCAGAGGCCATTCAATAGAGACAAGTGTCTGTTGTACTTCAGGAGGAGTTTAATGCCTGAAAGTCTATAAGCATCACATAATGAAAAGGTCGCTCTACGCAAATCCCACTGTGCCTCCTGCTTCAGACCAGTCGTGTCTGCAGGCTGCTCTGAGGGAACAGTGATTGTGCAGTGCTGGTGCCAGGTGAAACCAGAGACAGACGCTGTGAGATGACATTCACAAGCTGCTCTGATGGCTACAGAAAACCTGTTGCTCTAATGACTGGAAAACGCCAGTTCTGCAGCTCTAAGAATCAACCTCCGCAATTCTGCCCAGTATTGAGTAAGCACCTGGAACACGCTTTCAGCAAGTGCCACCTCATGCAAGTGTCTCCAGTCCTCCTCCAGTTCCTCGTTTGGAGCAACCAAAGCGGCCCAGATTCCCCTGCCGTGGCAGTCATCCCCGACTCCTGAGGTAAGGGCACACAAGGCTTCTGACAAGTGACTCCCCAGACTCACCTCTGTTGGCTGCTGATGTTGAGATGCCGTCACTAGAAGAGCCCTCTCACTCATCAACCCCACGTGAACCATCTCAGCCTAAGAACAGAGAAACATGAGAGAGCTTAGAGAGCTTCCTTTGTACCCAGCTGGCACAGTTCCTATCTGTAAGAAAGCAGCTACACTGATCTCAAAGCACATATTCTTGGAGACACCCATCCTCAGAGAAAAATCACAGGAGTGTAACAGCTCTTGGGCTGGGTGGTTTACAGCCTCCTAAAGGCATGCACCAAAGCCCATAAAGCGAGCCAGGAACCTAACTACCAAAGATTTCAAGGAGTTTTGATTCACAGGGTGTGTAGGTGGCAAGCTGCTGGAGGTTATCTGGGCATCTGCATCCGTTTTGAATCCTCAGGGATTATAAACATCCTAGAATGCAGCTCGAAAGGAATGCAAACACTGACAGCAAACTTGGCCCTTAACAGCCCCGAAGAACAAGCAGCATCTAGTTAGAGTGGAGGGAGAACGTGAGTCCTTACATGCTTCTGCACATCCCCGCCAACTTCCTTGCTGATCTTGATGTATTCAGCTACTGGGCCCGCCAGAAGGGCATCGAAAGCCTGCACGTACTGAGCCACTCCTGCAGAGAAGGAACCAGAGCACAGGCATCACCGAGAGGCACCAGGTGGGCTCCCAGGCTGGGGGCACTCCCACACGTGCGCTGCGCTCTGGGGCTGCACCTCCCACCCGCTCCACGCTCAACCTCCCCGCTCCAGGTCACATCGACGGGATGCAGAGGAGGGAAGCGCCGCGGCCACAGGAAACCCTCACCTTAGCAGGACGGTAACCGCAGGCGTTTGCGCAGTATCAGCTGCCAAACTTCACTTCCCCCTGCGTGCAGGCAGCTCATCTAACAGCCCTCTGCATGCGCCGCACGAGCGCCGCCCGCTCCGCGACAGCCGCTGCCGGCGTCCGGCGCTGCCGCACCGCCCGGCTGGAGCTTCAACGCAGGGACTCCTGTGGGGCGACGCTGCTGGGAGCTGCTTTGGGCCTTACCTTTGGAAGAGCCATCTCCACACATGCCAGGTCCTTGGCACACCGTCTCCAGGCGCTCCACAGCCTTCTCCAACCGTTCCACCAGCCTTTCCATATCTACTGCTGTCCACGACCTGCACAGACAGAATACAATTATTTGCATTCTCTGACAGCGTGAAACTTGTAGGCCAAATATTGAAGAGGGTTTATCAGCTGTCTGGCACAAGCTGTACCAGTTCCAGAAGAATAATTTCTACCCAGCTCTGCACCCTGATGACGGACAGCGGGGTACCCTCACCTTAGCAGGGACGTTCAGATTACGCAACAGCCACCTTCTATTGCCACAGTCGATCCTTAACGGTCACATCGTCTTATTCCATTGTAAGGACTTCTTAGACTTATAAGGACACTAAAACTTACATCTTCTAACCTCGTATTGACACCATGCAATAAACCAAAGGTCCGCACAGAACCTCACTGCAGTCAGTTCTTGGCCAAAGTCCCAGTTGTCACCATACAGCAATCCAAGCACGACTGCTTTGCTGGGAGTTCACCCACTTCAGGTTGGAACTAGTGGTTTCCATTCTGCAAATGCATCTGCGGGGACCTCCCGGAGCCTTGCAGTTCTTCCAAGGAACATCTATAACTCCAGCATGGCTACAGTGCGGAGCATCAGCGTGCAAAACGAGCCACCCTGGCACAGATGAGCAGCTGCACAAGCTAAGAAAGCATAGCTGCTTCTGCAACAACGCGCCCTGCTCATCCCCTCCCTCTGAACTGCAGAGCCTACTCTGCACAGGAAGGAGATTTAGCCACAGAAATCATCTGAAGTGTCTCATCTGGAGAAGCCTTAAGTGTCACACAAACTTTCCATTAATTACTGCTTTGCAGAGACTCAGCACCAAGGAGCAGGACGAGTCACGCTCCAAGCACACTAACGTACAGGGAAGGCAGGGAGGGAGCAGCAAGTCACCGATTGAATTTTTATCTTATCGCCACTCGCTGAAAGGTTTTACAAGGTGAATCACGATTCTGGCCCGGACAGAATCCTTCCTCCTTATTGCAACAGCCTGCGAGAGCTCAAAACCCTGCCTGAAGGAGAACGTCCTTCCCAGCACATTCCCCAGCATTCCCAAAAAGGAAGGCAGGGTTTTGAGCTGATGTTAGACCTCCCTCAGAAACTAAATCTGAAGTTCTAACCAGGCTTTTGCTCACAAGCCTTCTCAGCCCTGCTCCAAAGTGCATGTTTTCCCCCAATTTCCAGAGGATGTGGGGCAGACCCAGCATTAGTCACGAGCGGCACTGATGTCACAAGACAAACAAGGCCATTTTCCACCCCTCTTTCGCCTGCTTGCATCAGGAGAAGCAGCACTGATGTGGGGGGCAGGGGAGAGGCCAACCCCCTTCTAAGAGGAAGACAGCGGTTTCCTGAGTGTGCAAGAGTGAGCCAGAGGAGATACTGTGCCTAGAACTGTGCAACAGCAGCTGGATGGCTTCCAGATACAAAATAGTTCAGAGAGGTTGAAACTAGTGGGTGCTCACCCATATAATCAACAGTAATGAATATTTTTTTTTTTTAAATTCTGTACAATGTAGAAATCCTGACCACAGCATCGTCAGCGCTCTGCTGCAGCCGAGGACGACAAATCCAGAACCAGGCTCGTGTCTTCAAGTGGGAGCACAGCCAAGAGCCGGGCGCTGCCTCCCCCGCTCTCAGCACACTAAAAGAAGGGTTTTTTCCTCAAAAAGCCACCTGTTAAAGAAACCCTCCCGTGTTTCAAGAGTGCAGCGAGACAGAGGGGTGTAACGCCGGGGTTTCAGGTAGGACACCAGGGTTACCGAGCGTCGGGCCGACAAAGCTGCTGTTCTGCACCACTGATCCCCACCACATTCCACGCCAGGCTCTAATCTGATCAGCCCCATTACCGAGTGGCAAACTGCATTTCAAATCAGGATTACAAACCAGAAAGTCCAGATGGAAAGCTGCTTCCTTCCTACCCCCAGCAATAAAACACGCTGTTGCGAGGAGTGCGTCGCTTCGGTTCTAGAGACGCTGTTGGGATTAATGTCCTTTAACAAGAAAGTGTTCCTCGAGGTTCAGGCTCCTTCCAGTCTCCTTGCCGTTCCACACGTCCTTCCTGGGTGTCCCTGACAGGAGCCATAAACTCACACTGCTTAACTTGCAGCCACGTTGTAAACCTAGCGCTGCCTGGCAGATGGTGAACTCATTTTGATTTCTGTTTAATGGGCAGCATTAGGACAACTCACCAGATAAGTCACTTGGTAAATTGGCAGCAGAATTGGAACTAAGTGCAGGCAGCACAAAGTCCTGGAGCAGGCAGCTGTATCTCGGCCCCTCCTCGCTAAAGCTGCCTTGACTCGCCCTTGATTTTATTGTAGTAAAGACTCTGCTCTTCACCAGGATGCAGCTCTTTGTGCTATCTACACATCCATCCAGAATGAAATAAAGAAATTTAGTTATAACTAACATCAACAGCCAGAGTCTGCAATCCTGAGATTAACATTTAGCGAGGAAAAAAAAAACAAGATCACCAAGCAGACCAGTGTTTTGGCTAGGGATCGCTCTGAACGCAGAATAATTTGTCAGTTAGTGACAATGTCAGTAGGAAAATGGGATCTCATCGGCCTTCTTTACAGAGGAAGCTGAGACACACAGATCATTGAAGAGCCATTTTTGCTCGGCGCATCTTCCCATGCTCAGGAGGAATGAGGAAGGCTTTCAAGCTGCGCCGTGCAGCGGGGGTTAGAGTTCTCCGGCCGACAGAAGCGGAGTTGAGACGAAGCTCTCCCTTTTGGGACTGTAATGCAGGCTTTAAATCTAGGTCTTGTTTAAACTCAACTGAACTTCGATTACCAATGGAGCAGAAGCTACGGACTCGCAGCAAGTACGTATTTCACCCTGGGCCAGAAAGTCCATTCATTTTCACAGCATATTTGGTTAATCTGTTAACAAGCTTTTATTTCCATCAAAGCTTGGGAACGTGGTTTTGAACACACTGTACAGCTTTCATCTACACCCAGACTGTTTTGATACACGTAGAGCAATAAAGGGAAGGGATTTTATCTGTGAAAACACTGGCTACCCCGAAGCCGATCCTGCACAACAGCACAGTAAGAGGAGTTTCCTGTTTGGAGAACATCAAGGAGTCGGCATGTCCCAGCCAAAGGCCACTCCTCAGAGGAGGGAGCAAGTTCTCATAAAAACGGCACCAATGAAATTCTGCCAGTTGCCTGAGACAGCACGCTAGCCCGAGTCCTCGCTTACACATTCTGCAAGACACAAATGTCAGTTTGAGTCAAACCTACGCTTCTGTTCAGATCCAGCTTTCGCGAAGCCCGACGAACTGCTGTCAGCAGCACGAAATTTGCATCAGCTACTTCCTGTTTCTACAGGCAAAAGGCATAAAGATGGGACAACTAAATTAAGAACATACCACAGTTTATTTCTGAGCTGACACTGGAATATCTCAGGGGATCAGCTACCAGATGATTTCCAACATTTATATCTTTCAAAAGCCCAAAGAATGTTTTTTTTAAACGGTTCAGCTCATGAAGGAAGGAACTATTTGAAGCAAGACAGGACTCGAATGTCTGATTCGAGTCAGTTGTCAGGACCAGCCACGAACACAAGACAGCTATTGCTAGTCCCAGCAGCTGCCAAGACAGAGATCTCTGCTGTTTATAGTACAACAATACTTGTTGACATTGCTCCAGAAGCCATGGTGACTACTTCTGGTATTTCAGATCTACTTTATTTAGAAAGCCAAAACTGCTTTTTAAAAAAAAAAAAAAAAAAAAATCCCCATCTGGACCCTATTTAAGCTCTCCCAAATAGGAAATCCTACTGAAGTCATTGAAAAATGTTATTTGGTGTTTTTACTCAAACATTAAGAGCCAAAGTATCACTTTGCTCTGCACCGCAGCGAGCACAAGGACTCCTTGTTCACTACAATTATATGAAATAAGAGATTTGCACTTGCCAGGCTCTGTTGCTACGCTCCTCTCATTTCCATTCCCCGTCAGGGCGACGAATCCACCAGGGAAGTAACTGAGGATCCCGGATCTAAGCTAAATTGGACACGGTACCAAGCTCCGTATCGGGAATTCAGAGCACCGAACCTTGTCAGCTGTGCCTGCTCAAGCAGAGGCTGCTTGGCTGAAGTTTGCTGCGGGAATAACACGAGGTATTTTTGGCTTTCCAAAAGCTCAGCAATATTCCAGGGACACAGGGATCGCCTCGAGAAGAGAAAGGGAACACAGCAGTTTCTCAACGCCACGGATTCCTGGTTTTTCAGTGATGTGCAGCTACAGCCCAGGTCTTGGGGAATCAGAACCCGATGTGCAAAATCCTGAGAGCCGACACGTGAAATGTCTGGAGAGCGTTTTCATTTCGCTGTCACAACCCCAAAGCCATCGCTGACGCCTTTATCCCACTCCAACCACCA